GTACATGCAACAAACGGTACGTGCTAGGATAGAGATCGTTGGAGAAATGTCCGGTTCGATTTTCGCTACGACCAGTGTAACGTCTCGAGACTTCTTACTGGGTGGAAGGAGGCAGTAAGTGGAACCAAAAACATGCATTCCAAGGAGAACAAAGTGTTTAGGTCTGATCATGACCCGAAGACCAGTCCACTCATACAAGAGCCAGACAAATCTTAAAGTTACCACCAGACATCAGATGGTCAAATAAATTAAGTATTACAGAACGGCTGGTCCTTTCTTCACGCCAAACAGGTTTGATGGACACCAACGTAATGGAGGTAGCAATGCTTTTCGACCATGTTGTAGCGCCCTTAGACTTCCTGTTAGATAAAGGAAAGTATTAATTTGGGATGATTGCTTGTTCTCCGACACGTGAAGAAGAGATTGTAATTTGGCTTGACCCAAAGGTTAGCTTACGCGTACAATGGCAAGACGAATGTCGAAGTTTCAGCCAGACCTACACACATGTATTAATTGCCCTTAGTTGTTCATCTGATATCTTTTGTCACTGATGGAGAGGGTGCAACCTTTATCACAATCGACTGGGTCAGACTTTACATCCCACCAAAGCGCGACTTCACTTCGACTTCTAGCTTAAGCCTCAAGTGCTGATAAATGCCGACCAAATGAATTTGCGCAAAATACATCCCAATCAGGATCGTGTTAAACCCCTTACCTACTTTAACCAATTTGTTTCTAGACTGGTATAATTCCGCCTAACCATGACCACACATGATGGTTAACGGAATCCCCAGATGCTGAATTGTCTTTATGTTAATTATCCCCCCAAATCATATCGGAGTCATTAAGTGGGGTCCGCGACGTTGAAACCAAGTATCTATCCTCACCCACACGAGAGATGATTACTGGCTCATCAAAGATGATCAATTGGAAGACCACATTAACTAGATTGCATGAGCTAGACTCAGAAACATGCCGAAAGTTGTAACACTTTCTGCCGAATATTTATCTTCCATTGAAGTACTAGGAGCCCCTTATCCATAAAGAAGTCTCGAAGTGCTTGCGGCTGAGACGCCCTTATTGGTCATTGCACCTCAGTACATTCAACCCTCTATGGAAAACAAATAAGTTCTGATCATGTTTTGAATATTCTTTAGTCTTCATCAGTTAGCCCCTCCCAACAAAGGAAATGAAGGCGAAGGAAGGAAAGAAATATGGCTGATTTGCTACTATATTGTCTCAAGAGGAAAAAAGAGGACAATGATGGAGCAAAATACCTGCATCTCGTGTACGGAGAGGGTTGAATCAACTAACGTGGCCATAGGTCATCCGTTCAGTGGCATATTAGTCGAAAAAGCAACTTTTAGCAAAAATCTAAGGTTAGTCAGCAGTAGCGTTACAGATGCAATTGAATGTTCTGACATGACTGCTGCCCCACGATGTACTTACCACAGTTCTGAATTCATTTATCGACTTTCACTTGATCCTCAAATCAAAAATAAGAACCATTGGACCTCTCACTATACTTCAAGATCTATAAAAATTTGAAATGCACGTTTGCCGCTTCTGACGTAAAAAGGAAGGTCGAGACCCACTTCTAAAAATACAGACAACCCTACATCACGCAAGTCTTGGATTTGAGTAGTCACGCACCGCCAAAACAGAGGATCACTAATCCAAAGATCCCCAGAAATTCATGTGCTTAGTACGCTCAGTTGTTTGACAAATATTGACCGCCTTCCATGTTCCATTCAAAGCGCACCACCGTGGATCAGGAGATCTCATAAGAGAAATGCATGCTTATTTCAGCAGTTTCATAGCTACACATGTAACAGTCGATGACAAGTGTTGCTCCTAAACTGACGTTCAAAGTCATGTGTCGTTAAAATCTCTTCGGGTTCGACAACCAACCGCTTCCGCGGTTGTGCGTTTTAATCGTATGACCTCGGTAAGGACATAGGGATAGCCGAGTTATAACAGAACTAAAAGCACAAAAAATGTTGAACGCTCAGATGGTATACGCACTACAACAACACACACTTTCCTCAGCATGGTTGATGGGTGTCTCTAGCATGAATGAACTCAACGCAACAGTCGTCATTGTGCGCAAACGGCAGCGCGACGCAACGTTGATCAGATTTAAGGAAAACACCCAAAAAACAAGAAATATGGAGGGGTTGTCAAATATACCAAGCGTAACGGTAAGAATAGGGTTCGTCAAACAGGATACATCTCACTATAAACTTCTACGGTTAGTTCTCGATCTAAAATAATAAAACCGTAGTTTAATTCACTATGAATCAGTATAAAGAAATAGAAATCGAAGCAACTTGCTAGGCCATCGCCATTAGCCCAAAACCAGTTTTCTCAAGTCAAAGCGAGTTAAACAACAAAAATTTCCAAAGCTCCAATCACACAAAGTGGAATCAACAAAAATAACATTAACGAATGAACCACTGCATAAATCAAATGAAGTACTTAAAACTTCGAACACAAAACGCAAAATAGACAGAAAGCAAGACGCCCAAAGGGAGGCCCATATACAACCGAAGGCAAAAGCACTTACTGAGAGTGGAACGTCTTCACAGCATTGTATTCAAATGTAAAAATATTTGGAATGTGAGTAAAGTCCTGTAACATCAACGCCCTACCAATTTTGCTGAAAAGAAAAACCATGCAATCAGAACAACCTCTAAGCGCTAAGAAGGAAAGGCACATCAATTCACCTCTCAACAATTTGGGGAAAGCGAGGAGTCAGTATGGCGTGAACGACGTAGAACCATAAAGAGCCCAGAATCGACCCAATGAGGGCACCGATGCACACCTGGTCGACATAATGAAACTCAAGATATACTCTTAAATTATAGCAAGCGCAATTCTTACCTAGTGTAGCAAGTGATCACAGATATAAAGAGCAAAAAGAGGGCGATAAAGGCTCGGGAGAAAGAGGAATAATGAAGCGGTGAGAGACGATACTTTATAAAAAGCAAAAAATAGGCCATCATGAAGAACATGAACGTCGCATGATTTGATGGCATTCCATATGAAGAAACTAAAGATTTCGCTAGAAAAAGACCTTAGTTGTGATTAATTATTACGATGAGTGGGAGGACGAGTAATCCTAATTATTTTCTTGGAGACCTTGCATATCACCTCATTTGCCAGCATTCCTGTCGCATAAAATATCTAAAAGCTATGGTTAGTTTCATAGTGTTACCGTGTGCAAGTCACGATGAAAAAACACAAGGCAAAGGACTGAGAAACACACTATCAGCGGTATTTGCGAAATCCATGCAGCTATGTGACCAAAGGCATCATCTGCACTTATTTGAATCCAGTCAGGTTACCTCTTTTATATAATACAAGGAAGGTTTCTATGGGCTTCCAGTTTTGAAGATAATCCATAGCAATTGACTGCCACAAAAGAATTGACAAACACCACCATCAAGCAACGCGCGTGGATGGGAGTCAAGAGGCACGGTTTCAAACAGTGATTAACCCATTTTTTGACATTGTGCAACATTTCTTGCAAATTCCTATAGCTCAGTTAAACTACTTTTTTCGCGCGATCAAATGATGTCTAATGATTACTTTAGGGTTCGTCTGATCTTTGTACTCGTGGGCTGGCCTCCGGATCAAGCTCAGGATTGATATCTTTTCTCGTCCCAGGCTGCCTGTATTCAACTCCACTTAATGTCGTCTTCTACCCAGTGGGAAGCTTCAAGACGTTAAAGAGCCTATGTCATTTACTGGAGGAGAGGAATACCACGAGATTTCATTATTACGAAGACTGCGCCACAAATGCGGGCGAACAAAATCAATTTTCTTTAATAGCAATTTAGGCATGTATTTGGGTCGGAGAGAAAGAGATTGGGCTTTGGGTTGGCCTAAGGTCAGCCCACACATGCAAGACTATGATAAAATCTCAAGTGTCTACCCATCATACAATTAGTCACAAACTGTAATGCTTTGTTTCCGTGACTAGCTGAGGTTCGACGGTCACTTTAGGATTTGTCTGGCCCTTGTACACGTGGGCTGGGCTTCGAGTTATGCCCAGGCCCATTTATCCTGCCGTCTTCATAATACATGTATCCAGCTGCACTTACTGACTTCTTATACAATTTAGGAACTCGCGGGACGCTACATAAACGAAGTGAACAATTCTAATTACTTTCTCACAAGTAATCTTTTTCTTAACCGCCGGTATAAGAAATCAGTAAGTGCAGTTGGATACATGTATTCTGAAGACGACAGGACAAATGGACGTGGGCATGACCTGAAGGCCAGCTCACATGTACAAAGGCCAGATAAATCCTAAAGTGACCGCCAAACGGCAGGGAGTAACACAAACAGAGCATTAAATTGGGGAAGATTTGCTAAGCATAGTCACATAGGAACAGTTTTAGAGGTTGAGCACAGGTAAAGTGCAGGAATTAGTCCTTGGGGGAATCCTCATGCGGTACTTGCACAGCTTTCAGATAGGTCGAATGACTCTGTAAAGGCGACGTAAAGGCAATAGTACATACATCACAGCGATGTCCCTCCCCTCTTTTCAGTAGAGTTTTCTGCGCTCTCCTCGATACCCTTCCTGGGTCAGCCATCATAACATATTCGGTACCGCGAGGAAGCATCCATGAGCCATGACCTAAGCCATGCACCAGTCAGTTACTGTGGCAAGTTTAAACTGTTACTACTTAATGCATTCTGGAGAATCCTTTCATGAACATTTTCTTTATTTGGCATCACTAGTTTGCAGTGCTCCAGACCTGTATAACGAGGAAGAGGTTCATTTTGAGAGTAGAGACGTCTTCTGCGCAAGATCATCGAGGACAGCACGATTTCAACTCACAATTTGTATTACAGCTACCATGGGACTGAAAGACTGTTCTTGACCTTCTCAACAGCTTCAAATGGATCTGAATTAATGTTCGGCCTAAGGGCAGGAGTCGGAGAGGGGGATTTCACCTGACCTTTAATCGTGTCATAGACTAGATGTTGGAACGGTGGTATGAAACGGATGTTTAATATTAAAAAGAGAGATCAAACACAGTCCAGCATGGAAAGAGATTCGACATAGTCTTCTATTCAACATATACGCGGATGTGGTAAGAAGAGACTTCCCCAGGTGGTTTAGGCGAGTCAGAATTTAAGGAACCTCTCTCTAACTGCATATGCATTTCCACACCACCACAGAGGTATGTTACAAGGGTAAGCATTAGGCTCAAATTCATAGCGTATCAGGCTCTCTTTTCGCTGCCAACAATGCAGCTCTCGAGGTGTTGCACTAGGCAGGAGAAGACATTAGGTTGAGCTGAATATATTTTTATTCAAAGAGAAGTCAGGATAAATGCCAAAGCGCCAGTCATAGAGGTGGTCACGTAAACAAGTGCACGCCTTGAACTTGCATGACTTATCTCTTAATTTTGATTAATTGTAAGTCTCCAATTATTCATTAAATCCGCCAAAAATGGTGCACTTTAATGCACCATATGTAACGCTTCGTTTATTTGACTATCCACACAAAATGAGATTGCTTTTACAATCGTTTAGATTTGGTGGATTGGCTGGCCTTTGAGGCGGGCCTAGCCTCTATTCCACCCTTCCTTCTGACTACAGGCATTTAGTCATGTCTAATGCCTTTACTACCGAAAGCTTTGTTTATGTGACTACATGACTTCTGACGGTTACCATGGGATTCGTCTGGCTGTTGTGCACATGGGCTGACCTTTGGACCAAGTCAAGGCTCAACCTCTTCTCCCCTTCCTGGAATGCATGCATTCAGCCAAACTTAGTGTCTTCTTCTACGTGGTGGGAAGTCTTGAGCCTCTACACAGGTGGCAACGGAAAGCGAACTCGACTTCTTTTAAGGACTTCTACCCTAGCATCCACCGCTTGTGGCATCTAACCACGGTGCAAAGAAAGTGCACTTACTTCGAGAAAGAGATTTTCTGAGTCCCTCAATAACAGAATGGTTTCGAACAATGACTGAGTTAGGCTATTAACAGCTGAAGGGACACAGCGTGAACCATCCGAAAATGCTTTGTATCGGAATTCTCTCAAATGTATCCCCTTCGAGATGTCGGAAATGACACTATGGATCTCCTTAAACACGGGCCTGTATCTGATCCTACCTTTCTTGCTACACATTTGTCTTAGACTAATATTTCAACTTCTAGGGCTGGGAGATGTGTGCAACTGTCAGACTGAACGTGACTCCAGATCCATTTGAAGCTGTTGAGAGGACCAAGTGCCGTTCCTCAGTCTCATGATAGCTGTTGACTGACGTAGGTGGCTCGTGGGTGTTTCCTTATGGCACGGGACACGTTATGTTAGCTAGCGCGGGAGTGCACCAAGGGAAGGGCTGAGGACGTCGCTCAAAGAGAGAGGGAAGCAGTGCATTACTTTAACTACTTTACTTCTGGCGGTTACTTTGGCTTAAGCCCTTCCTCCACCCTTAAAATACATGTATTCATCTGAGCTTAATGCCTTCTTCTACCTGATGAGAAGTCTTGAGTTGCTACACCACTCATTATGCATTTCCCCATGTTGGTCAAAAATGCATTGCTGTCAGGCAAGGCGTTTTAAGCCAGATGGAATGAACCTCAGCTTATGACGCCGGGTGGGCTTTTTAGCTGCATGCATGATCAATGTAAAGTAAGCATCTGAAGCCTTATCAGTGTTGTAATAACAAGTAGCAAGCAACGACAGCTCACACAATTCAAGTACCAATTAGTCGAATCTACGTTAATTCATGGCGAGAGAATGCTATTACGTTGATGCGGAAGTAGGATTGCGATTCAAATAAACTTCCTACATTGCAAACCAAACCCATGACAAATCGTCTATGTGATTTGTTAATTACCAACCTTAGGATTTCGAGAGGAGATTACCCTTGGTGTCTGCAGATGTACACCAGAAATCTTGCCATAATGTTACGAGACTCTCCAGTAGGTAGAAGAAGGCATTCGATGGGACTGAAAGGAAAGACGTGGGGCATCCACATGGACCGGACGCCAATCCACGCAGTCAAGAGCACTGCCAACGTCATACGGACATTCGAGAAGCACATGCAGCACTGTAGCGCTCCGCGACTTCTCACTGGGTAGAAGAAGGTGCTAAGTTGGTCTGAATGCATGCAGTTTAGGGAGAGACGAAGAAAAGCGAACCTCAGCTTGACCCGAAGGCCAGCCCACGCAGTCAACAGCGAGGTAGATGCCAAGGCAACCACCAGACATAAAAGTGATCATACAAACAAAGCATTACAACTTCACGTGTCAGTGACAAGAACAGATTTTAAATGAAGTAAATAACGATTTATTGATCGGGCGATGATTATTTAAAATAGGTGACAGTTCTTGTGCTCACAGGCCATTGCTTCTTCACAGTTCACGATGGTAAGAAACGGCGTCAAGTGTCAGCTTTTTCCTTTCAATTGCTCAAATTCCCCTTACTATTTGTACACCCTCACGCCTTTCATGAGCACGGTAAAGCGTAAAGCGACTTGTAAGTGCGTTAGTTCCGATTTCTCACCATTCCGAAATTTTAAACAACTTTTCAAACATTTTGTGTTGGGTGGCTTTGGTCTTTTAATGTTTTGCCTTGGGAAACAGAAGCCTGTTCGATTGCTTCGGAGTTGATTATTTGTTTTGATCTTTAAGCATAAAATTTCGGTTAAAAATGTATCCCTACCCTATGCGTCATCAATTTTTTTAGCGATCAACTTAATGGCACAAACCCCTATGCCCAAATTTGACACCTCGTCATCGTCCATTGGTCTTACTTGTTTTGAAAAGCAATTAGTGAGCTTCGCCTATCCCATTACGGCACCTCCACTCTTTTGAAGGTGGTTTGGCAAGATTTTGCATTACAAGGGAGCGGTAACGATTTGTTTTTGATACTCTCTTTGGTGTAGTATAGCAAGAGCCCGTCTCGGTGGTGACCTAAGCTCTCACTTTCATTGCTGCAACTAAGGCTACGACGGAAGACATACTGCGCAGATAGTTAATGCCTTCCTAGATTGCGGAGTGCGAAGTACCGTCCTAGTCCCATGACCAGCTCATCTAAGGCAACCACGACGACGGAGTTGACAGTACATCACCATAGTATGGCGCAGATCCCCATCTCCCTTGAGCTTTATCGTTCGCTTCCTCCGTGTACTACGAACGTCAAGATCCAGATAGTGTTCCATGCTGTAAGGACGTCGCCATCGTATAATTTGCCTACATTGGGAGAATATGTGACTGTTACTGCATCCGGCTCATGTGGTAATTCAAGTTGGTCCAAAGTTCCGTCATTTTTGGGAGGAAGGTGGATGCGCGAGTCATCAATGTATCCTCGAACCTAATACAGTCAGCTAATAAATGAAGGGGACAAACGAGGTTTCGCAGAAATAAATTAACTTTTGTACTTCTCTCCGCCAATTTTATACGCATTTCGGTGCTCGTTTAACCTTATCGGGCCAGTTTCTCCCCACCGTGTCAAGAAATGAATGCAAAACGCGGGTTACCACAATTAAAATATTTGCTCGGAGAAAGTGACAGCTTTGCAATGAATAACCTCATTTTTTCACGGCTACTTTTATTTCACGAATCACCGACTGAGCTGTTTCACAAAAGTGGACGCCGTTTTTAAGTTCCTCCTTTTGAAATCTTTAGCATCTCATGCATCAGCACATCACAAGCACTTCTTCTGTCTCTCCAAAACTTATTGGCCATGGCTATAAATTTTAATAAATGCTCTTAGCGGAGGCTTACGACTTCTGAGGACGGAAGAGAAGGATTCACTGTTACCCGCCAGTCCCCTCCACAAGAGCAGTGTAGGAGCTCTCCAATGGCTCTCACCGAGGCTGAGGGTTAAATAGGCTGCCTATTCGGCTAGGCTCGCAACAACAGAGGTGATGGCCTTTTCTAGGTTCTACCAATTAGCTTTGAGCAGAGCTATGACATGCAAAGCGGTTTTCACAGGAAGGAGTTAGGCTTTAAAGAGATCCATGAGGTAAGGCTTTTTAATGCCAACATCACGTCGCCTGTCATTGATGATACTCAGTAGAGGTGAGCTTGTTGAAATCTACTTTAACAACTTCTTTTCTTCCTTTTTGCCTGTCCACTTCATTCGATGCTGTGCGTGACCATCAACTACGCAGGTTGTATTTGAAAGTGCAAATTTTCGTTGAACACCACTAAGCGGTCCTAAACACAATCACTATTAAGCAAGCCTTAAAAAGTCTAATTTTTTGTACAAAGTTTATTAGTATTATTCTTCTGATCGCCTTCCTTTGGAGACTTGCAAATAATGGTACATGTGTTCAGGCCTGAGATCACCACTCCAAAATGAAAGATGTCAAGAAGGAATCGAGGTCATTACTTAAGTTCCATCTCAAGTCTTCACAGTATCTTCTCACCAGACCTTCCAATTAGCTTTCAGTGCAGGCATTTGGGAAGTCCTATCATCTTGAATAGATTTACTGAGAAACTTGTTTCAAATGTACGCCTATTGCATGCATCAGTTTTATGTTTGTGGATCGTGGAAGCCCAGTTGAGCCTTTCTTGGGATTACCTTGACCTCGATGGAACCTCCTCCAGCTGTATTGGAGACCCGCTACAAGCACTTGCCACTTTAATCCTTCTGTGGTGAGGCTTTACAGTTGTGTATCTTCGTTTCTATGTCATTCTCTTGAATAAGGCTTGTTTTCTCCTGCTACACATTTTTACGTCTTTGGAACTTCTCTGATGGTCGATTTTTCGTTGGCATGTTGAAGGCACGGAGGATGTAATCACAGGCAGAGGGTTGCAAAATGCAACACCATTACCAAAGCACTAGACCCAAGGGAATTAAAGGGTGACCAAAGGTGCTACGTGTCAATTGCGGTAGAGTGGAGTCAAATGTCTCAATTTTTGTCCCCATTGATAGAATCCAACAGTCGAGAAACTGAAGGAATCTGTCAAGGTGGCGTGGGGCAATGTTGCCTTGTGGAAACACAGATACACGAAAGAATGCAGGAGACGTGAGGCTCTAGAGAAGAAATTAAAGACTCTCGCCTCCATGGTAGGCTTTTGACATCATTTCCATCATGATTCAGCAATAATATCTAGACAACGTTACAGTTCCACTCTCCACCTGTATGGCATTAATTCAGAACTTAAAGGCCATACAAGGCCATGATTTTGAGATTCCGACTTCTGATACACGGAATACATTTTTTGAATAATTGAAGTTACAAGTTTTGACTTTAGGATGAGTCCTCAGCCCATGTGGACGAGTGTCTCCACCTAAAGAAGGTTGCTTTTGCCGCCCTGGAGACCTGTTCGATCAAGGATGAAGAAATCAGCGCGCTGAGGAGGAAGATGTGTCTCCTCATGAGAGATATCAATGAACTCACGGGCCTAGTGACTGCACACACTCGAAAGAGAGCCAATGCAAAGATTGTGCGTCTCCTGAAGTACCAATTGGACTTAGAATTGGTAATTAGGACCGACCTGGCGCTTAACTCTTATTTTAATAAACGGCTTGAATTATTTGTAAACCTTATGCCGATTGTAGGAGAAATCAACTCTTCAACTACAAAATGACCGACTATCAACCGAAGTAATGAAGTTGCGTTCAATGTTTGATGAGTGCACGAAGGGAAAAGCTTCAATGTGCGTCAGTGGCGACGTAAGTCATCAGCTCACTCACTGCAACAACACAGCCCTGATCCAACTTCGACACAGAGCGGAGGTAGAACGCGCCGAATCGGAAGTAGAGAAAATTAAGCAAGAACTGACAGTCACGAACATGAAGGTACCATTTATTAGCATCCAAGCAAAGTCAACTTTTCATCAACCTATACACACCTTTAAAGACGCAATGTCCAACCGCAGTAGTAGCTGTCAAGCATTTTGCATAAGTCTCGACTAAATCAGTGAGCACTCATTCGTAGCTTTAACTTCTGCCTGCGTATTGCAGTATCACCACGATTTCTTCATTTTGCTCCTATAGACATCAACCTACCTTTATTAAGTCGACTTCGCAAACTCCCATCAAGAACTACCAGGCCTGTTTTAGGCATAAATCCCTATACAACTACAGCCTGCTGTGAAGCCAAGAGTTGGGAAGTCTATCTCTCTTTTGACCCCTCTAGTTGGAGTCATGTCAGGAAAAATTGGTTCAACTGCGAGACCACAATCAGCGTCAAGAGGCGCAGTTGACGGCACAAACAACTGAGTTGGAGTCGTGCAGACAGCGGGAGCAGGAGCTACGCAGGTCGTTTGCTCAAAAGCTTCAGTCGCTGGAGATGGTGCTAACCACAAGCCAGTGCGCTTTTGCCAGCCGTGAAAGAGAACTCCTCAAACGGATTGCCACTTCAGGGGACAAGCAAGACTAAACAATTTACTACCGCCTGATTCCACCATCATATTTCTTCCCAATGAAACAATCGGTAAAGCTACAAAATGACGTACTACAAATTGGGTACATAAAACAATTTATTAACGAATAAAAAATATATACCCGTATATACATATGCACGTACGCAATCTCTCATGCATACACACACATAAGAGTTAAAGGGAATAGAGGTATAGAGAAAAGAAAGACTAGGAAGAGGAAACGAGAAAATACCAACTATCAAGTGAATTCACCCCTCTGGCAACAAGAAACTTCTGTTCGGCACATCGAGAGAAGGATACAGGTTGATGAAGGAGGATTGAAAAACTTACCCGAATAGAACCCGACTTGGCTCACGCACACGCACCTATTCCTCTCCGCCTATTCCTTTGGATGGAGCTGTAACAAATTAATAACCAGTAGGAGGAAGGTGGAATATATACCACAAGGCTCGATCAGAAATGAAGAAAGCTCCTGAAAGGCGACAAACAATGATGGGCACAAATGAAAGACGATATTACAGAAAAACGTACCAAAGTTCGCTACGAGGACTGATTCCACCAGTCTGCCACATTTTTACAAGCCAGAGATTTCACCACCGCATCCTCGGGAGGTACGCTCACACCAGCAGTCGCAAAGATCTCCTCTACCACTACCTCCATACCGAGTGCCATCCCCGCAACTCGCTTCATAAAGGCCATTCGATGTCCCTCACTGAAGCCGCAGTTTCTCAGTACTAACGCGTAGAGTCGCCACAGTCTACTACTTAGCGGCATTAGTTTCACCGCATCCGCCAGACACTCAACCAGATAACTGACAAGTCCCTTGCCCGCGTCTTTTTCGGGAGGATGAAACTTGACGCCTAAGGCGGCGATCATTAACCAAAATTCCTCATCCATGGGCCGTTCGAGTCGTGCAATGGAACACAAGCTCTGCAACCACCGAAGGGAATCAGAAGACGAATTGGTGTTACAAAAAAAACCACCACCAGCAAAAAGGGCCTTTAAAGTGCAGAATCCGTAGGTATCTAAAAGACGAGTAAAGAGCGGGGTAGGGGGGTAGGAACATGAGAATTTGTCCACACGGACGGATTGGAGAATTTCGAGAAACCACGACGGTGGGTTAGAACGAAAGTCCATATCTTCGGTGAGAGCAGGCGGGAAGAATAAAACGCCCAGCACTGCCGAGTATTCTTCTGCGGTAGGAAGCATGTTAGCTAGAGCTAGACCGAGGTGAAGAAGTAGAGCAGCAAGAGGAAAGGGAAATGCTTCCTCTTGGTAGTCAGATAAGCGGGTGATGGCGTGATGAAGAAAGTCAGGTAGAAGGGACGAAGAAAAATTGTGCACCATACTGAAGAGACCGAAACACATCCACAAGTAGACAATGTTTTTACTATCGTACATGCGCAAATCGCTCCTCCCAGCTAGACCCAGAAGCCTGCGAAAAGCAGAGTAAACAGACCCTGCATCTATTGATGACAGAGGCGTAAGACCAGTGACTAACTCAGAGAGAAGACTGCTACACGGCTCTGATTTGCCTGATCCCTGCATGAGGCAGGCGAAACAGTAGGCGAATGTAGTCTGTATAGAACATTGGTTTGTGAGATCTGAAACGAGGTCGAACACAGCAGGTTCACTTTGTTGCAAGCGCACGTTCGATAGATAAATGGCAGTTGGAAAGAAGAGGTTATCGTGGGCCAATAAGTGACCACAGCTCACTAGAATGTCCAGGCAGAAGAGAGCAGCACGTTCACTATCACCTATAGCAGCGAGGAATTGCACATAGAAATGACTGAAGGCAAGTACAGGCAATACTTTAGAAATGGGAATGCCCTCTTGATTGCATCTGGAGAGAAGATCTGAAAGACGTTCACCACAAAGATCGAGATCAAGAACCGCTGCTTGAAATGTATCTCGAAAAGCGGCCAATTTTTCGGGTTCAAAGAGGGGACAGTAATCGAGTGATTGAGGAAAAGTAGTGGAAAGTAGAAAAATTATCTTAAGATACCAAAGACTCCAACGAGCCAAATGACCACGAGGTAGACAGGCGGGAGCAACTGCCTGATCATGCAAGAGGAGGTCCTCAATCAGTGCTATGCCAAGTTTGGAACCGCACGCCTCCCACTCCACTCGGCAAGCGTGGTAAGCAACGCAGAGGATAGCGTTCATACATAAAATGGAAGCAGTAAGGGACGAAGCTCGCTCATGGGCCAGCAGGAGCAGCAGGGATAGAGACTGCCGCGCCAACTGCCTTCGAGCAGGTAGCGAACAAATTTGAGGAGAGTTAATGGCATATGAGAAGAGATGTGGGTGGAAGTCGATTTGCTGCAGAAAATTTAAAGCATCGATGACGGGAGTGTATGTGGAAACGAGGATGGCATAGAGGAGGTGCTTAAGAAATGCTGTGTCATGCACACTTGATAAGTCTAAGGGTGGATTGAGGTAGGGCGTCCAGTTATTAAAGGTTGCAAAGACTGTGTGCCAGTCGCGCACAGAACAGCAAAACTCGGGGATCCCAGCACAGGAGACACTTAATTGAGTTCCACAAACTTGACAAAGTGATCCGAAGTCTTCAGAAATAGATGGTGGCGCCACATAGGATTGAAGAGGTGTCTTCAGCCCAACCGGGGCCGTAGCAAAGTTCGTTGGGTGTTGAAAAGTGCAGGTCTTATCAACACAGTTTCCATTCAAGTAAAAGGGACAAATTGGCGTGTTGGGATCCAATGAAGACGGTGTAGGAGAGGAAGCTCTCGTATCCGGAGATGGTAGAGTCATCTCGACCTCCTCGGGCATACTCATGGAGAGAGTAAAGAGATTGAAATACCAAAACAACGGGGTAGTAATCCTAAATGAGGCTTCAAATTTATCTAACATAGTGACTAAATAGGTGACGATCGCCGATAAACCCGGGGAAATGGATTCAATCACAGGTGGAGGAGAAAGATGTACTTGTCTCGAACGGATTCGAGAGGGAGGCCCACCGACGATTATCCCCTTTGAAATCCGCCTCACCGCAGCATTCATTTGTTCCAATTCTCTCTGAGCTTTGATCAGATTACCCATAGTCAATTGCTTTTCCCTGCTTGCTTTCACGGCAGCCTGTCTAGCGGACAAGTAAAGTTTCGTAGTTTGGTTAAGCTTAGACTTCAACGAAGTGAGAGTTGAACTCAAAACAGCCACGGACCGCTTTCGAAAGGACAAGAGCTTGTCCTGACGTTTTACCAAAGCCTGCAACTGCTCCACACGCAGAGACTGTCTGAGAACTAATTTCCTATAGGACTGAAGAGGAGCAGCAGGACCGAATTTACTTTTTTTTCCAAGGCGAGCTTCGGAAGTAGAAAGTCGTGTTTTACCTTTGGAAGGTTCAGAGGCCGACTTACTAGCAGTTTGGATCTGTCTTACTAATGTAGTATCCAAGTGAAAGTTTTTGTTTATCTGCGGTGGTGGTGGGAGTGGAGGGGGTGATAGTGATGGCTGTGATAGGGATGGTGAGGGAGGACGAGAGCCCACAGAGGGGGTAACTGTACCACGGCGGGAAATAAGAGTGACGCTGGGCAACGCTTCTGCCTCATCATCTCCACTGGTAGAAGGGCTTGAGGCGGAACATCTGTTCAGACTGATGACGAAACGAGATTTAGGAGGTGATGATTTGCATTTAAATAGTGGCGAAGGTGACGGTGCAATACCGACGGGCACGGTCAAAGCCGGTAAGGAATTCGATTCTTGCATGACTCCTTCGCTTCGTTTTTTGAAAGAAAGTAACGCTTTTTTTCGAAGCTCCTGTTCTACATCTTGATCAACCTGAAAACAAATTTGGGGTCTAGGACGATTGACGTACATTAGACGTTCCGCCTTCTTTCGCTTCGTCCCTTACGTTTGCAGCAGTGTCACTCCCTAGGTTGCCACATAGAATGAAATCGGATGGGTTTACCTGCACCAAATTTTAAATTGGAATCTGAGAAGGACAATGAATAAATACCACAGCACTTACTTCCCGAGCGGTTTACAGCAGGCACTTCGATAGGATGCTTGGATAAGCTCTGCAAGGCCATCCGACGCAGTTCCAACTCACCTAATGAGGTCTCAGAAAATTTGGGACTAAGTGATCGCGGAATTGAAGGTATTGGTGGCAGCATGCTTCCCCGCGGAACCATCTAAAACCCGATTAGATAGATAGATAAAGACCCAAAATTCCAGAAGAAGATTAATTAAAATCCAGAAACCATCAGAAGTAGGTAGATTAACTTCCACATGTTCTCCAAAACTTACTTAAAAGTCTAAGAATATAATTAAAATGTGGAAATTGGCTTAATAAGCCCCAAAATAAATTCATGTGTGGGTCACAAGACGTTCCAGTATTCATAAACGTTGTAGGACAGACATTCATTATATCATGTCAGGGTCAAATAATCGTCAGAATGTGAATGTGGAACTGGAGAACATGAATATGCGTTGTTAACCTCATATAACAGGGCTACGATCAACAGAAAGTCCCCTACTCAAGATAATTAAATCTGCAAGCCTGTATGCAATCACGACACATCTAACTACCAAAAATACGCCGTTGCCATTGCCTGCTCTGGGTACAACTTTCCAGGCCACCACATCCACAATCTCCTTGCCCCGTCTATGCACGTAGTGCGAAGATGGATGTCAAACAGTAGGGGAAACCAACTCACCAAGTTGATAGTGTAGAAATAGAGAAAAAATAGAAAAAAAGAAATCGTCACAGGATAGAATAGTAAGGTCCAATTAAAACCCTGAGTTTAGTCAATATATCGAGAGCTGGCAAATGAAAATCGGCTTAATTGCCTGCTTCATGTTCTCTGGCTCCCAAAAAAGTAAAATTGGGACTGCACGAGAAATGCTAAGCCAAATGGTGAAAAGGACTTACAGATATAGAGGCGCAAACTCTGATATTCCAGAAAGCAAAGCGTGTCGACACCAGATTGAGCACACGAACACCAAAGAAACCTCCCTTAGCAAGAAAACCAGCCAAACAAAATTCTATGCAGATCTGATTTGCTTAAATTTTGGAACTTAATCCTTCAGTGAAAGCGAATCGATTTATTTTAAAATGGTCAATTCCAAACAAACGACATAAGCATAATTGCATCGTCTTTTCAATTATGGTTCATTTTGTCAGTTTGAACTCACTCTCGATCCCGACTATGCCAAAAGAGGTAAACTAAAATGAAGAATATCTACTGCAGTTTTTTAAGGCTTACCATACACAAAAATAATGGCAAAACTTTGCACAGATTGCAAATGCTGTGTGCAGTTTTTATAAGGCATTTGAAGATCATATTGTAGCGTCCTGAGGCTTCCAGTGGGGTAGTAGAAGGCATAAGGCATAAGACAATATGAGAAATGGGACCTGAATGTGGCCCGAAGGCCAGCCCACGTGTACAGAGAACAGACAAATTCTAGAGTGACCGCCAAAGGTTAGGTAGTCACATAAACAAAGTATTACACTGTCGCTCTCTTCTTTTGAGCGACGTCTTCGGCGCTCCCTCTGGCAAACCTCCTGCGCCAGCCAACACAACACATTTAGTACTACACGAAAGCACCCACGAGCCAAGCGCGTCAGTCGACAGACAACACGAGACTGAGGAACCATACCTGGTCTTCTCGGCAATTTCAACTGTATTTGGAGTTACGTTTAATCTGACAACCAGATTCGGGGCTGCATACACCTATTGACCATCGATCGCTTCCAGGAATAGACGGTGAAACTCTGGTCCAAACATATATGCTACAGCGAAACGGAATGTCACTGTCCCTTATGTGAGGAGAACCGTAGTGTCATTTCCGACACCTAAACACGGATTGTGTTTGCGAAACTCTGACACGAAACTTTTCCAGATAGTTCGCGGCGGTGTCGCTTCAGCTGTTAATAGCTTATTTGTGGAACATGGGAATAAGGTGAAACCAAATGCAGATGTCACTCTCAACCTTTTCATTGTGAGGGATCCAGGGATTCTCCGTCATCATGGTAAATGCCCCTCCTTCAATTCACGTCCCTTATTCGCCTGTATCTTTACCTACTGCACTTCGACATACATAGCTCATGATTGCCAGAATGCGCTTATTAATCTTGGATTTCACCCCTAAAAAGTAGAATTCGTCTGCAGTCTCGTCTGCTGGTTGGATTATAACCTTCATGTTGTGAAAGGAGAGGTTTCGACTTTCCGGTCGAGGGAACCCAATTTTGAGGTATCTGCATGTATTGAACCAGTGTATCATCCGATCGAACCGTTGCTCGTCGGTTTGTTCGTACTGTTCATTTGGCAAAGTTTAGCAACGCAACCGTAGGATGTCAGTAAGACAGTGGTGTCTGTTGGGCAACACATTTTCCCACACACTATGTCGCTTTCAAAAGCAACCCTACACCCAAAAGTCGTTAATAAAATGTCGGATTCGCTTTCCGCTGCCACCAGTGTAGTGTCCCGAGGCTTCCACTGGGCTAGTAGAAGGCATAAGTGAAGTTGAGTACATGTATTCCGAAGACAATAGGTGTACGAAGAACAGACAAATTCTAAAGTGACCGCCAAACGTCAGGCAGTCACACAAACAAAGCATTACACATATTTCCCAGAAAGCGGCTTTAGCTTGTACTATCCAACCCCAACTACCTCGACCTTCTTTTGAGGGTCTGCTTCTGGACTTCAACTTTGCCGATCATCATTCGAGGTTGTGCACGGAGCACTGGCCTATTTACAAAGCTCTTAGTGTCGAATTTATTCCTGTACAAGTTCAATAAGAATGCAAAACATCTTAAGCCACAGATAAGCCGTAATTTGACATAAGTCTTGATGCCCAATAAGCGATATTTCCGCCAGTTCTCGCCACACTTGGGCCAATACCATATACTCTGCGGCTCCTCCCTGCACGTGGTAAGTAATGAGCTCGACCTGCACCGATTCAAACTCGCAACTACGTTACCCTTTTGCTTACTTGTCCTCACAAGACCAACGCGACCTGATTAGGGCTAGGTGATATGATTTTAAATGCAAAAGGTGTGGAGATGGACAAAAGCAGATTACTAGCACAATCGTTAAAAACCGGGCACAAAATTGTTAGCAAAATCGGAGGATAAAAGCGAGGAAATTATGGCTTGAGTAAGAAATCCTTGCTACATTGGAAACGACGACAGCCACTTGAGCAAGAAGAGGCCCCAATGATAAAGAGCCTGTGTTGATTGGTTCGACTGCGTTGCTGCCAAGACCTCGGGCTTCTCCTTCCCTTCCATTGTCAAGGTCACCGACCTAAATGACAAGCCGACATCACTTATAAATGACACCTGGTACTCCTACTTGCGCTGCATATTGCAGGCCTTTGCATAAAGAAGTAGAACAACTTACGTTCGGAATGAAGCAATCCGTTTTATCCTTATAACCTTTAAAGCGAACAAATACAAGTTCTGGAAAAGGTGCCAAAAAAAAATGAAAATCTGGGTACGAACAAAAAGGCTCTATACGTGACACTTGTTCTCTTGAAAAAACAGAACTAGTTTTGACGAATGCGGAGAGGAAACAATCAGATGGTACTTTAAGGAAAAGTACTTACCACGCTGTATTGTCTGCCATCTGCTGGCCAGGCACAGAGAAACTGAAGTGCTGCATGCGGATTCCGATAGGGCTTTTAGACCAACCGCCATGGCGACTTTTCTGAAATTGCTGGCTGAAGGCCTCACCATAGAGTGCCTTGGCCAGAGAGTGACGCAATCGATGTCGCTGTTTCGACTTTAAAATGGGAAAGCGTGGACCTGCCAATACGAGGACAGGTGTGCTACTCTTTTCCCCCGGCTTCAAGTGGGCCAGGGAACTTGCGTGAAAGAGGACAGGAGTGCGATTGAGTGAAGACTCGAGGAGTGTTGTGAATGCACCGTCTGGGATCAGGAATTTCGCGCCTTCTCTCTCTAGATGAACGTATGATACCTAAACGTTTCCGTATGATCAAGAGTTATATTCTTAACTTTAAATGAGAGGAATGTATTGTGGTGGCTATGTGAAGGAATTTGTCAGATGCAAAGAACGTTGCCGTAGGTGATGACACGATCACTGAAGCGATAAAGGGGAAAACAATACAAAGTTTGCAAGATATTATGCAAGGAAACTTGGAGTAAACTTCAGTGTTGATCAAATCCAAGTACTAGGCTATTTCTAGCATTTGGGAGAGCTGTTGATTGTTGATGTCAAAGCCCTAAAGCCAGTGTTAGGAGAGCATGACACCCGTCCGCCACTGCGTTACCCTTATGGGATGAAATTTCACTTCGAACTGATTGGTAAAAAGTACGCCCTTGCGATTAATGTCGGATTTCCCCCATCGGAGGACAATTGTACCTTGCATTTTTTCAGAATAGTAAAATAATTTATGACTTTGACATTTCATGTCTTGGACTAACATCAGGGATAGTTAGCTGCATGTTAAACTGCGCTCAGTAATGCCGTACTGCTTACGGGCGAAAAAGCACTGACGGTGATGGTAGCCTCCAAGCCCTCCTGTGGGTTGACAGTGTACTTTCTTCCAAGCCCTATTTTTAGGCAGTGAAAAGTAAACTCTGACCCTGGGTGCAGTTGAGCAGAATCCAGGTGGACATTACTGTACCTGAAACATCATCTCCGTCATTAGTTTCTTGATTCTGCTTTGTAGCCGGTGCTTCCACAACTACCAACGGATACTCGTGATGGTCAGTGCACGCGCTTAATCCCAAATCTAGTTCCCATGAGGAAGGAAACTCCTGGTTCATTCAAACTGCTAAGAGAGATGAGTGAAGCGGTGGTAGGTTCCATCCCATTTGCACAGAACCTCGATGACTATCGCAAATGGTTCGCAGGTGATCCTCACAACACTGACTACGTCGGTAGCTAACGGAGAAAGTTTACCAAAGGGTTGCCAGTAGTGTTGGCCCCACTATTACATCCCCGCAGGGTGAAGCCATGTCTTTTCTCTCATCTAAATGGAAGCCACAAGACGTTACAATACCAAAACATAGTGAAGTTACTTTCTCGTTCCTTTCGTTGACTCGATAGTATTAACTGATGAACAGCGACTGCTGTATTAATGGTATGAAAATGACTCATGACGAGAAATCAATAAGTCGAAGGCCTGCGCATCGGTAGTTTTTCGAAAGGGGTGATCATTGCTGACTCATCAGAGTGTGTCCACCAGGCTGAAAAGGCTGCCTGTTCCACATACTGGGCGCAGACATGAATGGACAAGCGTCTGCTCCGGCAAACTGATTGGCTATTGAACAATGACACGTAGTAGCGTAATATAAGAAAAGGACGCCTTAAACTGCCAAAACAAAACATCAGGGTAGTGCAAAGTCTTTGGACTCAATGTACCACCCTTGGGAAGTCGCGAGTTGAACATTGCAGTGCGTACTAAATGGTGCATGCGCTATGATGAACTAATAATAAACAGTTGTAAGCTTTCAAAATCCACACTTGAAGTACCAATGCATATCAAAGCATGAACAGTTGAGATTAGAGAGCCAATTGGGAGAAAGACCTGCTATGCCCTCCTTCAATCCTCCATCTCTCATGCAAGACCTCATACCTTGCGCAGCCTTAGATTAATTAAACTTCCAGAATGGACGGAATAGCATAAGAAGATAGCTAAGTGAGGTTGTTAAAGTGGTGGGCTGTTATAGGAAACTTGTTGCGCTCATCCATATCATCACAAGACCCTCACATACTTTGTTACTTACCTCATTGACCTTATCCTCCTCCCGTCGAATAGTGACAATTTACAGTCGCAGTGAAACGCATAGCGTCCACATCTAATCCAGTCTTAAAAATAAAACCATCAACACGAAAGCAGTATTCGCAAATACAGGCCGATGTCGATGTCACTGGTAGAATGTTTCCACGTGTGCAAATATTACTCCACCTCCATGAAAACATGTCAATTCTTGTCCAAAAGTCCAATTGAATGTCGATCTAGGAAGTTTTTCCCAAGAGAATTAATGTCTTAACCTTACTCAGTCTTTGTATTATTTTGGGTCCGAAGAAAATAGTGTTTCAAAGTGGATCAAGTCGTTTTTTTATAGCAAGAACTATAAGAATTTAGAACCAGGGAAACATTAAAAGTCCCACGTCAAATTTGCGATACAGCAAGAAGTGCAGTCGGTCGAGGGAGCGAAAAGTGGTGAACGGTCAACCCACACGAAACAGTAAACAAGCTGAAGAATTCATTTTACACTGTGCCAGGAAATTCACAAACTAGCACCAAACAGAAGAATAACAAAAAGAGAAGGAAAATAAAAATGAGGCCTCAGAGGTATTTACTCCAGTAACATTCAAAACCGGTACCCCGGTCACTCCGGTTCGGATCACTTGGTTATCGGTCATGTGTAATCGTGAAGTTCAAGCCATCGAGGAGAGGAGAAACACAATATACCATCTTGACACGTTAAATGTTAAGTCCCAAAATGAAGGACTATTTACACTAATCAATGGCCGGTCAATGCATTATCCCGTCAGAACAAAAATGGGTAACGTACACTCTTTTGCGGAGTCGTACTTGAAGGCGACGGTGGCTGCACCAAACGAGTAGTCTCAAGAAAATCACCGGCAGGTGAGAGGCTGAGATCTGAAAATAGCAGAAGACCAACGCCAAGCTTTGAATCGGAGTAACGGATGGTCAGTTTGTGGAATGAGATTTCGCTTTCAAAGGAGAGACCGGCTGTGAGGCCCTGGGCTGCGATGCCCTTGGCAGAAATTTTCACCTATTAGAAGACCAGATTGTAACTTCAAAAGACGGCAGTATTGTTGTCCCACAAAACTGTAGCATAAAGAAATTGAACCACATACTTTTATTCCAATGTATCCACCATCTGAGAGGAGCCTGTGACGACGGCACGGATCAGACCGATAAAAAATTTCGATCGCCCCTGTACTTTTATCCGGCTTCAAATCGACGTGACATAAGGAATATTCCAACTGTGATAAGTAATATTCTTGGAAAGTCTTGTTGCTTTTACTGGCAGTCCAGAGGTCAGCATGACCATTTGAGTCGCGAAAGTCAACAATCTAAGGTTTCAAAAGCAAAAAAATTCGAAACTAGGCCATAAACTATTTGATAGGTAAAAATTCATACTGACACTAAAATAAGTCAAACCATAAATTTCCGATGAGTTTTCAACTTTAATTCCATCATATTTGTGATTATCAAGTAGTCTCGTCCAATTAGTTTCAACCCTCGCGTCTGGCTTTGAGCTTCTGACAACGAAGATGGAAGGTGGTCCCAAAACCTTAGAAGCCGCCGTAAAGAAATGAATTGAACACATTTCACTTCGGAAGACTACATGAACCAAATTCGGGAACCGATTTTGGCATTCATCATCACACATAGGGTTTTTCGCGACTTCAACCTAAAAGAATGCATATAAGTCAAATGACCTACATTCCAGTTAAGTGTTAAGACCTGCGGACTGAAGAGGCTTGATAAGAGTACACAAAGCCCAATCCACACCATCACGTACCCTAGTTTAAAATGGTTTACTGTATCGGGGCGGAGCTGTGATTATTCAAACAGAAAGTTGACAATTGAAAAATATGTAATTATGGAGGAAGCATTAAACAAATTTAATTGGAGAAGTGTTTCAAAGTATTTCTTGAAGGCCAAATTAATCATGCTACTCTGGTAGTATACATAATCGGCGGAAGAAGGAACAAAGCCAACCCGACAAACGTACTTTTATGCAAGCTTTCATGACTTAGACAGACTTTTATCGTAAAGACTTGGTTGTCAGCTTTAGAGTCCCGAGACTTCTTATTGCGTGGAAGAAGTCAGTGAAGCTGGATACATGTATTCTATGACGACAGAACAAATGGACCTGGGAAGGGCCGAAGGCCAGCTCACAACTACAAGGGCCAGACGAATCCTAAAGCGGTCGCTAAACGTCAGGTAGTCACATGAACAAAACATTACACTGCCCCTCTCTTCTTTCGAGCGACGTTCTTGGCGCTCCCTTTGGCACACCGCCCACACCAGCCATCTCAACATATTCTGTACCACAAGAAAGCACCCACGAGCCATCCGCGCCAGTCGACAGATATCATGAGAATGAGGAAACATACTTGGTCTCCACGGCAGCTTCAACTGGATCTAAAGTTACGTTCGTTCTGCCAACCTGATTCGGGGCCGCGTACTCCTGTTGACCATCAATTGCTTCTGGTCTAGATGGTGATACTCAAGTCCAAAACATATATATTTCGGGGAAAATGGGGCAAGTCACTTCCCCGTATGTAAGGAGAACCGTAGTGTCATTTGCGACACCTAA